ACAACGGTCAGCCAAAGGTATATAAACCGTTGACTTTGACCGTACTATAGGACTGGTCAATCGCTCTCAAGCTTGTCAGCTTTCGTCCCCAATCCGAGTTAACCGCATGCTGGTCTGCCAGTCACAGGCCAATAGAAGAGTTGTTTGAACAATCTCCTCCTGTTCTGGCCAACGCATCTACTTAAGCTTCGCATTGTAGAGGGTTGCTGGGACCGTTGACCGGTACCCTACCACTTCCACCAACTATCTATGACACCCATGGCTGGCCAACAGCCAATTTTAGAACAGGCTGCTGAATTCTTTTACATTGCAAACAGGACGACGCGGGCAGCGGTATGTCAAGCTGGTCCTCACAAGTTCCTGGTCCTATGACCTCTACAGCTCTGACTTGTCATCTTCCTTCTTTTGACTCCAGTCTGTGTCGAAAAGTTGATTGCACAGTGGTCAGGACCAGTCCTTGGGCCAAGACAGGCTGTTTTACTTCCGCCCGCTGTTCATGCCCCTGCAGCTACGGCAAGTTTCCACAAAGTTAACCTATCTGTCGACAACTTGCAGAACCTGCACGATTTCTCGAAGTAAGGCGTAAGGCTTAGCCTTCTGACCGGCGTGCAAACCTAATGATATCAAGACGACAACATTCCAAGTTGTCGTGATGGCGCAGGAGGAGGATCCTCTGTTGTTAGGCCGGCGAAATTCCAGCACAGCATCAAAACCGTCAAATGCAAACATGCAAGGCTAGGGTTTGAAGTACTTCACTCCCTGACCGCTCGCTACAGGACTGCCGTGATTGCTCTAAGTCACTCCATGCACTTTGCAGGTCAGTACCTCGCTCTCCATTGACCTGTTTTTTCATCGTTCCACCCTAACTTGCTCCTCACAAGTGCACGCCTCTCTAACTGCCGCCAATCACCTCTGTTCGCACCTGTTGGCCGTACTCCACACGCGTCGACTGTTCGTACTTTGCACCTGTTCTCTCCAAATCGCCCACAGGAAAAGCTTGCGCCAATGCCACTGCGACGATCCCCCAACTTTGTGCTGTTTTTTCACGCCATTACAAAGCTCACACTTCATGGTACAAGACTCCAAACACGAGAATGCAAACCAACGCGAAATTGCTTGAAAATTGAAAGCCTTATACGACAGGTCTCGTGTATGTACAGGTATGTGTCTTCTCTCTATATATATAGCCTACCCCCAGACCGCCCCCGCCCTCTGACTGTCTTTCTCTGTACTCATACTCTCTCTACTAAGCTATGGCGAGGGGCGCCATCAACTATAATCTACTTTTATCTGTCATATGATGCTTGGCTGCACAAGTCCGCAACAGCACTTTCGTCACAGGCACGCATGTAAATTGTGTTGACGTTTATCTGCGGCCGGATTTTTGTACTTGCTGCAGTTCCCAATCTCGGACTTTCCTCGGAACGGTACCTTTTCTTGCCGGCCTTGGCTGGCTTCCGACACATCTGGAGTTTTCGTGGACTTTCCTGGGACTGAGCTGCGGCTGGACTGACAGATGGACAGATGACAGACCGGTAACGAACTAAGCCTACTGGTTCATAATCTGCCAGACCTTCTTGGTGGATTGGGCCTACCAGACGGGACTATATGGTACATGGGACCGGGACTCTAGGACTTAGACACTGGGATGCCTGAAATCCGTTCACTATAACGGATGTGCTGGAAAATCCGTAATGGTTCCCTACCAAATTCCAGGCATCACTTTCGAGTCCCGGCTACCACATTTCAGGCATGTCCCTGTGACAGTAGACATTTGTTCTTATCTTAAAATTCGGCTTTTTTGCATCGCAGTCCCCAGTCCAAGACTCGGACCTGTGCGCAGCTCTACAAGTTTAGTACAAAGACAGACACCGACCATCAAAACTTAAAAAAAAAAAAAAAAACAGCACACTACCCTAAAGGAACGTGTTATTTGAACTTATTTCCAGTTCTGAGTACACAGATCTAAGCAGTTTTCAGTCTGATATCTCAAATTCAACGGCTGAGGCTAATAGTTCATTGCACTCTGTGCGATTGGATGCGGTGTTTCCACATCCCATGTCCGAACTGGTCCTGTCCAGTCTGCAGCGGTGGTCACCTACCATAGGCAACACCTGCTCCTCAAATCGAAGATCCCCGCAACCCAAACACTGACTGCCCTCTTGTGCCATTCCATAGCAGTACTGAGAAATTCAGAACCCTGTGAAATTTGTCTTTCCTCTGTTCTATCCCTTGTCCCGCAACTCGCAAAGAGTTCCTCCTCCTCCTCCCCTTTTCCTTCCTCCCTCCCCTTTTCCTTCCTCCCTCCCCTTATGTTGCACGACAAATGCATACAGATGACCATCATTGAGAGAGCAGACAGAACATAATTGGAGGTGTGCTGAATGACTTGGAGTATCTCCCCCCCCCCCCCCCCTCTCTCCCCGTCCCCCTTTAGTCTGCCTCCGTTCATAGCGTGCAAATTGGTCGTTATGGCACACAGGGATGTCACACTCTACAATCAACGAGGCGAGCCTTGTGCTGTAAGAGGCACAGTGGAAGGGGAGCTGTAAACAAGACAGCCATAACAAAGCCAAAGTAAGGCAAACAAAAAAAGGACTGTACAAGCAAAAGGCAGTATAACAGTTTTTGTGTGTTTCGTGTTGTTGGCAATATAGAGGCAAAACCGTGAAACTGTTCGATTTTGGATCTGTTCATCTTAGCGTGCTTCATGATGTTTGCTGTGGAGGTAAAGCTGTTTCAATTTTGGATCTGCTCATGTGGATGGAAAAGGGGCTGTGGTGACAGTGTCTTAAACGCATGCATCTACTTTTTGCATTAGAATATTATTTTCCCGTCCTTCGGGACATCCGTTAAAATTGGAATGATATAGAGAAGATTAGCATGGCCCTGTGCAAGTATGACACGTATAAATCGAGAAATGGTCCAGATTAAAAAAAAAAGGAAAAAAACAATATTCTTTTCCCGCTCCAGCTTCTTCTTCGCTTCCTCTGCCTTCTCCAACATCCTCTTCAGGGTCTGTATATGTTAATCTGTCCGTTCACTCTCCTCGACCCGCTTCATCTCTTCGCGTACTAGCAGGCCACCGGTTGGCATCATAAGGGGTTCGCCTGCCAGCATCAACCGTTTCTAAAACTCGTGCATCTATTTTGCATTAGAAATTAGAATATTCTAAAGCACCTTCTTCTGAACGAATTATCACCAACTGTCCTTCGGTCGAACGGTTGATGTACAGGGGGTCAGTATCTAGGGTTTCCCTCTTCGGTGGTGATGCCCAAGTCGAGGTTCACATTATCATGGAGAAGGACGTGTTAGTGCAGATGAGTAGCCAGAGAAATCCACGATTCATGACGAATAGAACTCGTCGCTCTTCTACATGCGCTGATGTCCCTGGGTCTATAATACTCTATATACCTTACACCACTTTTGCTGTCCTGATGATTCTCTAGATTGTCTGGAGTCTGGCAGTGGGAAGAGCTCTCTAAATTTGAGGATGGAGTTTTTCTTCTGCGAAACCATAGCTGCTGCAGGCATACGAAGAGAGCTGTACTCCTGACTCTTGTGAGATGTTCAGCCCAGTCCCGTAACACGGAGCCATTTTGCTGTGTCCACAACACTGTGGAATGCTGAGGTGACTTATCCAACGCTTACTTCGATTCTTGGTCTGTTCGTCGTATTTTCTTTTTGTGTGTAAGCTGACGCGCTTCTCCGTTGAGACTTCTTTATCTTACATCCTTTTGTGCGAGACAGTCGCACATCAAGTCTATGGTCCACATGAGGCTAGAATATGGACAAGGGATACGAAGCTGTCAGTGCCTGTCACTATGTATCGCAAAAGCGGGTGCCTGTTGAGGGCAATGAAAGAGGGAGGTCCTTACCATGGCAGTACATGTTTTTTGAGAAAGGCAAGAGTAGAATTCATTGGAGGTTCCCATGTCTATATTCAGGGTGAAGGGGAGGTCCTCTCTTGAAGACGGTATGGTCAAATGCAGCGCCAGGATGCATGGACTTCGGTTGCCCCTGCTTGGTAGATGTAGCTCTGTCTAGTCCCGGCTTGGTAGATGTAGGCCTGGCTAGGGAGATGTGGGTAGGTACTGTATAAGGGATACTAGAGAGAAGAATATAAGAATATAGCCTCAGTTGAAACAAAAACAAAAAAAATGAAGAATGGCAGCGCGCAGATGCCTCTTCAAGGATGTCAGTATAGAGGGGTCCCAAACATGGCAGATGTTTGTACAGTTCTCTGAGGAGTGGATGGTAGTCGACAGATGCCTCTGTTGAAGGCGCAGGAGGAGGTTCGTCTGTTGTTAGACAATTTGGGAGGAGGGGGTCCTAAACATAGCAGCCTATTGTTTCTGAGAATTGATGGCAGTGCCCAAGTGGGCGGTATACTGATGATGACAATTACTCTAGGCAGATATAAATTTTTATTTATTTAGTTATTAAATTATTTTTGATTTTTTCTTTTTCTTTTCGATTGGACCATTTCTCGATTTATGCGTGTCATCCTTGTGCAGGCGCCATGCTAATCTTCTGTGTATAGTTCCAATTTCAACGGATGTTTTGTGCATGTTCTTTGTGATCACTGCTGTGTTGTAGTGCTTGGAAGCACACTCTGGCTGATTGTCCTTGGAAGGACAGCCCAATGCAAATATGGGCTGTGTCTCTTGATTGCAATTGCTTTGAGGCAGATGGAAATATGTTTTCTCTGTTTACTGCTGTGTTCTACTGCCCTTGGAATCACACTGTAGCTGATGGTCCTTGGAAGGAAAGCCTTGTCAAGGAATATTGCGAACAGCAGAGAAATATGAGAGAACAGAGAAAGTAATCAGATTCTCAAGAATGAAGTGTGACCCTTGTGTGGATCTAAGTCGTGTACGCTGTCTTTCGACTCTTCACAGGGTTAGGGTTAACGGTCTGTCGAGGAATGCAAATGCAAGAAGTGAATTTTGTTTAGATCTAAGTTGTGTCCGTTGTCATGTTCTTTCGAGTGTTCACAGGGTGAAGGGTCTGTCGAGGAATGCAAATGCAAGGAGTGTTCCCCGGGAACAATCCCAGCTGCCACCAGCTCCTCCAAGAGATGTGAAGGAAACAACCACCAAGGACTCTAGGGAACAGAGGGATGGAAAGGAAATAAGAGAACAGAGAGAGACCAGAGACGGAAGAGTGGAACAAAGAGAGGCGAAAGATGGCAGGGATGTGAGAGATGGCAGGGAGATGAGGGATGGCCGTGACCCTCCGGACAGAACGTTCCCTGTGCAGATGGTCAGAGAACCAATGTCTCTCGCCAGTGGAAATGTGGAAGCAAGACTAGAGTTTGAGAGAGAACGAGAGCGCCAAGAGCGCTTTGAGCGTAATGAGAAGCTATATGATCGACCAATTGACCGAGGTTCTTCATTACTGGCCGAGAGGGATGGTCAAAGCCACGCACTTGAGAATGGCCCACCCAGGGTGAATAACCTGCGCGAGACGAGTGGAATTGAGGCACTGGGGAGGAGGAGGGATGGAAAAGATGATGGGGGCGCGGGTAGCCGGTATCGCATGCCGCGAGAAGATAGCGCGAGTCGGGGCAGTCACCGGGACACAGAGGGCTACTTGACCCGAAGGAAGGATCTTAGGGAGGAGGGTGGCTTGCTGCGACCAGCACCACCCACAAGGTCTGGAGAGAATGTGGTTGTTGATGGCGAGCAAGCTGCATTCAAGCGGAAGGAGTCGAGAGATGACAGTTTGATATCTGCAATCACGGGTGGGCTGAGAAGAGAAGCGCAAGAGAATTTAGGAGGAAATGGGCCATCATCAAGGGTCTCCTCGGTCGTTCGTGCATTTGAGGGAAGCGGCTTGGGCACAGATGGAAGTAGTTTCCGGGATCGGGAAAAGGAAAAAGAGCGGGATTCCGGAAGGGATGGGCCTATGGAAGCATCACCAAGAAAAGGGGAGCCAAAGGAAGAGGCAAAGCCCGTGAGGAGGAGAAGTGCGCGGGAGGACCCATCAGAAGGAGAAACAAGGACTGCAAGGAGAATTTCCTTGGACAGGACTTCAGACAGTAATAAGGCTTTGCTCAATGCACACGATGAGCTAATGCATGCTATACTTGAGGTGAGTGTGTTAAAGGGAAACCCTTGGGTCATCTTTGTAGCCAACCACTTAGATGATTCTCGAGTGTGCAATTCTATTTTTCCTTAATCTCTCTGTTATCAGCTCTCTCACCCCAGATTTTGTGTGCTTCTGTGCTCTCAGGAGGAGGAAGAAGTGGTCAGTGCGCATCGCAAGCTGATAGCAGATACCATGGAGATTGTGCATGAGGTAGGGCTGTCTCTTTTGTACAAGCTTTTCCTTGTGTCGTCCAAAGGTTCTAGCCTTGTTTCAGTCACTTCAGTTCTTCTCGGCCAATTTAGCCTTTGTGTAGTTCGTCGGTGCATGTCCCCTGGACTTCTTCTTTGCATTATGGGCGCTCGTCCGCCCCTCTGTGTATACGAGTTCAAATTGTCAGCCAACGTACCTTTAGGAGTGTAACTTGCTGTGCAGCTTGCCTGTGAATTTTAGGTCTCTCTCTCTCTCTCTCTCTCTCTCTCTCTCTCTCTCTCTCTCTCTCTCTCTCTCTCTCTCTCTCTCTCTCTCTCTCTCTCTC